GGCGGCACGAGGATTTTCTAGAATCAGACCGGCTCAGACTAGTCAATTTCTCAGCCAAGTCGCAAGGAATACTGTACCTCTGTCGCCTGTGTATGGAGGCAACCGAGGATCGCGTGACATGCCAACAAGCTACTAGCATCTGGCGTCTCGGCGCCTGTCATATATCGGAGTGTGAAGAAGTGGAAGCGAGGATCTTATCACGCAGCGACGCTACGCCAAACATTATAAAGGTGTAGCAACATGTCCCTTTCATCCAATCCCCTTTGTATAAATGGCTACCCAAACGCTTGTAAGTGGCGGTACCGATGTTTCTGCTACGAAGGCTGAAATACTGGCAAGCCAACCTCGACTCAAATACTTGTTGTCGGCGGCGGACCTGCCGGAAGTTATGCTGCTGCTGCTTTGGCTCGTGAAGGTTTTGAAGTCACTCTTCTCGAGGCTGCGAAGTTCCCTCGGTCAGCACATGATAAATGACATCTGTATACACAGTTACTAAATACATAATTGTTCTAGATATCATATTGGCGAGAGTTTGCTCCCGTCGGTCCGCCCTTTCTTGGCCTTTGTTGGTGCTGAGGAATCTATCATGAACCACGGGTTCACAATTAAGGTGTGGATAGTATTAAATGTGCCGGAGTATATTAGACGGTCACTCTCTTATAGCCTGGTGCTGCGATCAAGTTGAACCAGTTCAAGCGAGAAGGATGTGAGCGCCAGTCACCCTCATCCACCGTCGTACTAATATTGATTCTTTGCTCCAGATACAGACTTCATTGCGCTGAACCCAAACAATGGGTCTTGGAACGTGGTCTGTAATATATTGGAGATATGCTTCCTATCTCACAATTTTGCAGATTCGATCAGAATTTGACGATTTGTTATTTCGCCATGCTTCCAAGTGTGGCGCAACTGTGTTCGACAACACAAGAGTCACTGAACTCCAGTTCGAGGGCGAAAGACCTGTTTCAGCCAACTGGAGGAATGTCAGCACTGGGACACAGGGCTGTATCTCTTTCGATTACCTAGTTGATGCGTCAGGAAGGAATGGGATCATGTCCACAAAGTATCTCAAGAACAGACGCTATAACGAGGCCCTCAACAACGTTGCATGCTGGGGATACTGGGATGGAACCGGGTCTTACATGCCGGGTACCACTCGCCAGAATGCTATCTGGGTCGAAGCACTTGAAGGTATGAAAACAACTCGTATTGGTCACGCTGAGCTTAATGTCTGCAGACGAGTCTGGATGGGCTTGGTTCATCCCTCTTCACGATGGATCCACATCTGTTGGAATTGTGATGGATCAAGAGTCGAGCAGCCGTAAGAAGAAGGCTTCACGTATGACCTCAGGAGATTCCGGCTCAAATCTTCAGATTCATTATAAGGAAGAATTAAGCAGGGCCCCTGGAGTCCTCAAATTGATCGGAAATGGCACGCTTCGAAACGATGGCAAACCGGAAGCTGTGAAATCTGCGAGTGATTTTAGCTACTCTGCTTCGTCTTATGCTGGGGATCATTTCCGCATTGCGGGGGATTCCGGAGGTAATTTCCGTTTTTTTGTTTTGTTTTTGCAGTACTCGTAATTGACAATTATTAAGCATTCATTGACCCATTCTTCTCATCTGGAGTCCATTTGGCTTTCACAGGAGGACTTTCGGCTGCTCTCACGATCGCTGCGTCGATTCGAGGGTTTTGCAGCGAAGAGCATGCCCAACGTTGGCACACCTCAAAGGTCGCCACCTCTTACACGAGGCATGTGAATTTGGTCGCAGGGACGATAGCAATTGACGCAATGTATGCTGCAGGTTTCTTGTTGTCGTCCTTGGGACCTACAAACAAATCCGCAATCAGGCTATGCCAGTCATGAGCGATGTAGATGAGGACAATTTTGACAGAGCATTTGATCTCATCAGGCCGGGTGAGAATTGATTTTTTCTTCTATGACTGCAAACTCTGATACCTGAGTGCAGTGATACAAGGAACAGCAGATGTTGGTAAGACGTTAACAGAAGACGAACTCCAGGTATGTATGTCTTGTGTCTATTTTCCGCGACAGCCTCGATCCTATTGACAGAAAACTATGGACTTCTGTCGTCATCTATTTGCACCAACTGATCCCGAGATGCATTCTGCAGTCAAAGCTAGGTAAGGGTTTCTTGTTTGTTCAACTGAATTATCCTGACTAAACTCAATAGATTGGATCCTGCTCTAACAACTCCAGACGGACCCGTTATGACAGAATGCGACATCGATCGCTTGCTCGGAGATGCTGATGAGGAAGCTAAGACTGTTTTGAAGGAGATCAACGCGCGAAAACCCATCCACACGATGTACAACCCCACAGAGAATTTTGGTGTGGAGGAACATTTTGGTTTCAAAGCTGTCTTAGAACGAGGCAAATTGGGTTTGGTGGCTGCGCAGGGTTGCTAGTAATGCGCAGTTGTAGTGCCAGTGGGCGCTTCATCATGGACTCGGTTATTCGCTGCGCAATTACGACGACAGAGGAATCCGCATCTTGATTCTTGACACAGTATATTGGCAGGTAACAGAATTTGTACATAAATTTTGCTGAATGATTTTTTCACTTGATGTTTCGCCCAATTCGAACTCGGCCACCCTCGCTCCTCGTACTCGTTCTGCTTCCCCCCTCCGGCCCAAGCAAGCATTCACTCTTCTCCGCTTCTGATCAGACTGCACCGTCCGAAATCTTATGCAGTAACTTTCCCGCGCCACAACCCTACAAGTCCCCCCCTTTACTAACGCTAGTTGCACTCGGGAGCAGACAAGATTTACGGGTCAGTGTCGTCCGCTGAACTTCATGCAGGTCCGTGAGTACTGTGCTTCTGTTATCTGAGCCTACGGCTCACGCGCAGCAATTGACAGATTCATTCATGGCACAACAAACAAATTCGGACAGCCTTAGGAATCTCCTACCACCTAGTACTAGTATTATCTTACATCGCTGGTATTGGCCAGCCTACGCTCGCTAGCAAGATGTCCGACTGACATCCTAGGACAACGTCCACTTCCCATAGTCAGTGGTGGCCTTTCCCTCGACGAAACCGAGAGCCTGTAGGTGCATTGTCAGTGAAACATGTGGTACGAAAAAACAATGCTGTTTGACCTTCGTCTTGCTATCGACGACCAAGGAATAGATTTTGCCTGTGGCAACGGTGGCTTCGAAACTGACCATCAACCAATCGCTGATCAGTAACCTGAGAGATAGGTTTGAATACCCGATACGCACTAGACCTTCCCGCCAACCAGTTCCGCTGGTGTTCCATATTCCCATACATAATCCTTGTCATTGGTGGCGACCGCCTCGGTGAACTTGGCCTGGGAGGAAGGTCAGATTTCAATCATTGAACGCTGCATCTTGCAGAAACACTAACATCCCATCCGAGGTATAGGTTCGTGCCCTTGTTCAGCAACGGCACCGCTAGTTTGCCCCCAACGAAAAATTGAACCTCCCACTGTTGACATCACTTGTCAGCACCAAGTTCGGAACATTTCTCTAATCTAATGAGTACCCACAGTCTGATATGCCTTGATGGTGTCACGCTTCTCCACAGTAGCCTTCCCGTCCTTCAACGTCAACACGAGGGTATTGTCCGCGACGTTTGTAAAGACACCATTGATCGTGACAGACATGCTGCTGGTTGATTCGTTGTTTGGTGAGGTGTGAGATATGAGATATAAGAGTGAGTTGGTCTTCAAACTGCGAGTGTAACATCATTTATATGCAGGTCGTGTGCAGGCTCGGCATTCTGATTTCCCGAGCCTATCGCATGCACCCCTAAATCACGCCAGTAATTCAATACTGGTGAACCATACTGCAATCGTAACTCATCGCCTCATGATCAGACAATGTGGCGAAAGATGGCATCACCCTGGTACTTCCATTGCAAAAGAAGCTGTGAACCATTCTTCGATTTCGGTTCCGAGGAATGTTTTGTCATGGCGGTACGAAAGGATTTCTCCATGATCAGGAACGTCTCGGCAGCGACCATGCTACTGCTGGTCCCTCCTTTATCTCAAAAGGAGTTGTAAACATTCCTTGATTCCGCATCCGAAGAATATCTGGGCGCAAGAGGAAATTACTCGAATTCTGGGCAGGGATACTACGTCTGGCACTTCCAATTCAAACAAGTTACATACATTCCTACATAATTCGCTTGCGAGGAATGATTACACATGGGCCAGGCCTCATTCTCCGCAATTCTATTTTCAACGAGACTGGGGTAGATCATTTCATTGCCCCTGACCAGCAAGTTAGGTATGTGTCCACCTTATCTCTTTGCTTGCGAGACGACCTCCAAATTTGACGGTCGTCAAATAAATTGGGATGTACTGGAATACTAGGTAGACTTCACCCCGATCTGTCTCGATGCTCATTCCAACTAATGTATATGATTATTGTAATCTGTATGTATTTCCTGCTAGATATTGTAGAGGATTTTGGAGGTATAGATTTTGTACTACTATCGAAGCATTAATATTTGCATCGTCATTGTTGACCCTGTTAACAAGAAAAATACCGGGTAGAATAATCCCGGCGCAAACTAATAACCTGCAAAAGAATATCTGTATCTGAAGTCAATGGGTTGAATGAGGTCCTCTTGCGCCGTACTGACAAACATTCCTCGCCAGCGGGGCCGAGGAATGGTTAACGTTCCTTGGAAGTACCAGGGTGATGTCATCTTTCGTCACATTGTCGAAATAACAAACATTCCTCGCCAGTGGGACCGAGGAACGGTTAACGTTCATACCTTGGAAGTACCTGGAGGGTGATGCCATCTTTCGTCACATTGTCGAAATAAGCCAAAATTGCAGTATGGTTCACCAGCATGGCATGATTTAGGGGTGCATACGATAGGCTCGGGAAAACAGAATGCCGAGCCTGCACACGACGTGCATATAAATGATATCACAATCACAGGTTTGAAGACCATCTCACTCTTATATCTCGTACCTCACCAACAACGAAGCAAGCAGCATCATGTCTGTCACGATCGAGGGCTTTCTTACAAACGTCAAGTACAAGAACGTCGTGTTGACGTGGTCGGACAATGATATTGTCGTAGCCGCACCTCGCAAAGAGGATCCATTGCCACTGCAGACGGTATGTCGCTATGGAATATTGCGAGTCACGTGCTGACAAATGATATCTGTAGTGGAAGGTGGTCGTTGGCGCTAATAACAAACTGGAGGGGCCAATCCGGAACGTGGGATCCAACTTTTACATTGGATGGGGTGTTAGTCTGTCTGCGAAAAAAAACCAGCTCAATACGAAACTCACCTGCTTTCCAGGCTCATTATGATGATGTCATTGGCAATGTCACAAACGACAGTTATCAATGGCAGCTTGCGGGTTCAGACCCGCTTTATGGATCATTGCAGTATGTATCAGCCGGTCGTTATTCAAATCTACTGATGATTTTATCTGATTGGCAGTTTCCAAATCAAGAATGATACGAAAACGTACACATTGGTCGCAACGTCTGACAAGGTCACGTTTAATTGATTGTCCCACTATACTTTCCCTTATTGATGCACCTCTGCAGGCTGTCGGCCTCGATGCCAGCACAACTGGGATAGTCCCCGAAGAGGGAAAGTGGGTGTTGTCGAAGCCCACTTAGAATGCCAGTCAGAGTTGCGAGCATACTATGCCTGTTGGATCCGATGTACTCAAGAGGAAGATGAGGCTGCTGCATCTTCGAGATGTACTTACTATGTGGTGGTTTCAGTTGTATGACAGGATGAAATTTCAGTGCAAGTACCTAGTCCGAGTCGTTCGAGAAAGTCTTGCCTCGCGTGTTTGAAATTTGTGCCAGCGGCCAACTTGATCCTGCATGATGGGTCAGCCCAGGTTGAGTGCTGAGCGCTGAGAGCCGTGAATTCGGCTTCATCCTACAAAGGAGGGCTTGTTCCCCTCAGTATAACTCCTGACGAGACGGGTTGATAGTGTTAGCCTGAGACTATTGGGTGCATCCAAGACGAGCCCCAAGTTCCACTTGATAGTTGTCTCTATATATTAGGCACGCACAAGAAATACACAGTATAACATCACCTATCTACCACGAAATAGTCGGGCATGGCGCATAATTGCAGTACAATGATAGAAAAGTTCTTGACCTACAACATTGAAAACATGCCTATGTCTTGAATATCCGTAAAAGTCGTGCCTCTGTGACGATGCGAGTGCGACAGAGCGGGCATTCACGAGATGAGGCGAGTACTAGATCGGAGCAGGTGCGGCACATGGCCAGATGTCTGTTAATACGAGTTAATGAAAAGCCAACGTGTGATGATAGAAGTACCCACCCGCAATCTACGATGGCGATATTTGCCTCCTGGTCCTGGCATATGACACATAAACCCGAACGTTCTGTGAACGTCGTCCTAGGTGGGGATGTTGGTGGAGAGGAGGAAGGTGGCGGAGGATGCTGCTGGGACTCGTCATTTATCCCAACATTCTCGGCAGGGTCGTGCATCTGGGCGTTATCTGACTCGGCTTGCTCCGTCTCCATAGCTGACCTTTCCGCTTCAGCCCTCTCTCTCTCTTCTTGTTCCTCCCTCTCTCGTATTTCCCTCTCTTCTTGTTCCCTCTCTTCCCTCTCCATGTTATTTCTTTCCTCCTCTGCCGTTCTCTCCTCCTCCAACCAGGCACTGACGCGCGCCACGAGTTCTCCCTTCTCAAGGAGGTCAGCGGGCAGACGTACACGTGCTTCGTACAATATTTGTTTCAGCGTGTGAATAGGCAAGCGCGAGAGGGACGACGGGGACATTGCAAGGAGAGCCGAGAGTGGGGGCGGAGGCTGAGGCGTAGATGAGGTGGATGGCTGAGGTGGTGAGCGAGGTGCAGTTGGTGGGCGCGCAGGAGGCGGGCTGGCAGTAGACGGAGACGGGCGTGGAGTGGAGTGGGGCGCGGACCGAGGCGGCGTTCGTGGCTGCGAGGCTGTCCTTGGTCGTGGATGTGGTTGAGGCGGAGGGGGCGTAGGTGTGGGCGGCGTGGGAGGTGTCTGGCGCTGTCTTGTGGTGTTGGGGGTATACGTTCTGTATGATGTTGGCTGAGGGTCAAGGTCGGGACGGGGGAAGTCGGTCGGTGGTGTGGACGTTTGCTGCTGAGTAGTCGGGGGTGGAGGACGGGTGCTGAAGAACCCACGGGGACGCGAGGAACGGTGCTTGGGGACACCATGGGTGCGATAATGGGATTCATTCGACGGGGGAAGGGTGCCTGCCGGTGTCTGGAAGAGGTTAGTGATAGAAGGATGTTTCAGGGTAGGAAAGAAAGCACCTTTGCAGATATGATGACATCTACGAGGTCATTCTTATCGATAGGGCCTTTGACGGGAATGTTGTATGCGTTGACATAGCGGCGAAGCTCGGAGAGCGGCAAGCACTTGAGCTGATACTTACTGGATGCGGTTACTGAATATAAGACATCAGATTGGGACGTTGGTAGAAGATAGGGAACACACTGTTAAGAAAATCGATGCAGAATGCACAGACGTGGACTTGGTCGTAGCCAGATGCTGCGCCATGGCGGGGCATGAGCGCCTGGTAGTCTGCGCAGCTCCCACAATACAAGTAGCCTGCCAAACCGATCGAACACGATTTTGAATCCAATCAGCCAATCTATAGTTACTGCTGCATGGCAGATTGACTGACCACAGTGATTACATCGGGTTGAGCGTGTAAAGAAGGGAATGAATTCCTTGTTACATTTCCTACATGCGTTCGGTGATCGATCTGTCCCCGGCGACGGTGGAGGACCACTGAGTAAAGGGAGCCCGTTCAAGTTGGACATGCACAGCGGTAGAAAATTCGAGAGATTATGATAGTGAGAGTCAGACAGGTCCAGAGGAACGTTCACTCTTAGGAGGCGCTGCGCCGTGAGACGTGTCACATCTTGATGTCAGCTGCTTGTTCTGGTATATTCTCGACAACAGCCTAGGCGGTACCACACAGTCACATTCCATGTCCTAGTACAACGTCGCCTCTACAGCTGCACTGTGTACGGTGCTGAGCGCTTCCTTTCTTAGTCACAGTCGAAGTCCCCATTTTCACAATCGCAGCGGTCTCGATGACAAATAATAATAATATTGTCGAGCAATACAGTTCCTGCTGCGATGCATGTCCACTTCTGTCCACTTCTGCACCTCGGGTCCTCGATCTCCAGAGGGCAGCACCTTGACCAGGTCCATGCGTTCAACGTTCAACGATCAGGAAGAGCTGTAAAGTTTGAACTACACACCTCGTTGTAGGTCACGTGAGGCTCGTGTCGAGATCGCCGCTTCGAAGTTCTGATATTCTATTACATGTATGAGCCAATTGTACGTACCCGACGGTCGACACGTAGATCGATCTGATTGTGATATCACATCCCAGAGCCACCATTCGAGTGGACCACCATGTCAAACACCTGGATGCAGTACTCTTCCAGCTTTCGAGTTCAACCTCCTCAGTCTGCCCCCGGACCAGCAGATTCAGCACCGATCTCATCTACCCCCGTTGCGTCCACCTCTGCCTCACCGATCTGTCAGCAGACAACGATCCCCTCCAACGTCTCACTGCAGCAACTCTATGTAGATGTCAAAGCAATCCTCCAGTGCATGGAGGCCTCCCGTGAGGAGCAGAAAAAGATGTCAAATGACTTGAATGAGTTGAGCACGAGCGTCAAAGTTTTGGAAGGTGTAATATGCGGTAACGTAGGTCCTGATCGCGGCAAGAAGAAGAAGAAGAAAAAGAAGAAAGGGGAAAATATGGATTTAGAAACAGTACAATTGGAGGGGGGCATAGTCCGTCGGTTAGCGACCATGGATGGCGCGATCAATGACTTACTTGAACGTGTTTCTAGTTTGGACACCGCTTGTCGTGCGTTGCTGAACCTTGTTTTTATCTTGCATTCTGATGGTGCTTTGCTGAGTAGGTCACCCTGCACGTACAGTATCTCCTCCAGTTCAAAAGGGTGCGCCTTTTGAATATTGATTGACAATGATGGCTGATGCACCAAGCTTTAGAATATTTGAACATATCGACAGCCACAGATGACCCTCTTCCTACCACCGCACCACCCCCGTCGGCATGTCTATTTCGGCCTTGGTTTCCTCCCGTGGTGTGCTCTCCTGAAACGCTCGCCCCTGCTGACTGGACCTCGAATCGTATGTTTCTCGTTTTCTACTTCTCATCTCATGCTGACACTTAAAAAACAACCTCGTCTCTCTCAACACGGCGTGTATTTCACTTACTTTTGACGGTGGTGTTCGTTCACATATTGCTGGACATCATCATCGTCGACTTCTCCACGCAATTGTCAATTTGCCTGATGAATGCCTGCATACACAGGCGCAGTTAACAATCCGTATCGTGCCCCGGGTAAGCTCTTTCTTACTTCAAAAGACCCCCTCTTCTTTGCCCATCCGGACAAGCCTCCATGGACATGCACAGAATCTTCCACTTCCATACTTTTATTCGCGTGCATATATTCGGAGCTGGCAAACTAACACACCAACCCAACAGCATTCGTTCACTCGCAAGATTATATTCATAATGTTCAGCAAGATCCCAACTTACCTGGGAGCTCAGAATCTAGAGCTTCTCCGGACTCATCTACGTCCCCTGATGTCTTTAACCACATCTCGTCTCCTGCAATAACCGAGGTTTCCTCTCGCTCAGTAGCTCCCACTACATTGAACGCCAAAGTTCCCATAAACGGGCCTGAAATTTTCTCGCCGTTCCCAACCCCATCCCCTGACACTCCACTCGAGGAGAGTTTCAGTAGAGTGGACGACAGCAATGAGGCAAATGTTAGGTCTATGTCAAATTACAGGTCTTGGCCGGCCTCACAACCGAGACGGGATAGTCCTGATCAACACATGTCCACGACGTCACTCCGCATCTTCCCAAACTCATTATTAAATCCCATATTGCCCTCGTCTGCTCATTCAAATCACAACCCTGCACGCACTTCCATTCCATCTGCACTCACTTCTTTCTACTCTGCATCATCCTCCAAATGTGACTCTGCTCCATCGCATATCACGCCTACATTGACCTTACCTCCCACCTCATCAACTTCAATCTCATCTAACCATAACGCCTTATTGCCGGTCTCGAACCTCGAGCGTATTCCACCCTCACACTCACCTTCGTCCTCTGCCCACACTGCTACCATGCACCTCGCAAGCCCACCCCACACTCCCATCTACACGCATGCAGAGGCGCGTGTGGCTGCGTTGCGCCGGATCCTCCCGCAGATTCACCAGGATACCGGGGAAGATGTGGACTGTGAGGGACCATGTATGAACTGTGAAACCCAACGCTGGAAACAGCAAGAGCATTGCGGCCAGAGTACGGGCTCCCAGGAGCAGAACGCTGACGAAGAAATCCGTGATCAAAGCACAATTGCTGACCCGTCGCGTATGTGCTTTAATACGTCTCCCCGCGATATAGGTCCACCGCCACCGGCGTTTGAAGTGGATGCAGAGGCATCTCCGCCTGTGCCTGAGATGCAACCTGAAGTGTCGCGAGTCCCGCCGCCTACGTTTGAGACGCATGATCAAGGCACAGTCACTGATTCATCGCGTATGCGCTTGGATGCATCCTCCGGCGAGATGGATAACCCGTCACCGTCGGTTGAAGCGAATGTAGAGGCATATCCGCGTCTGCTTGAGGCGCAACTTGAAGGGTCGGGGACAGGGCCAGAAGTCTCACTATCTGCGTCTAAAACTATGTCGCCTTCCCGAGCAAGCTCAAATGGTCCACCACGCGCGATCAACCTGGACGCACTGCAGAGGCTCTTACGCGAGTGCGAACTTCCGCTGTTGCCTCGTTTGGGTGCGGCTAGGATGCGCAAGTTTAGAGGGCCTCGTGGCACAGGACAATTACGGACCGATACGTGTGGGGAAGTGAATAGGGATTTTGGTGGACCAAGTATAGAAGAGAGTTTGCGGCTATACCGCAAACTTGATACTGGCGGATCAGGCGAGGTGGCACTCCATAGGCCGCGTGTGAGAGAGGAAGGCTTGCAGGTAGAGCTTGAGAGTGGAGGGCTGGATGGGACGCTCGAAGAATCTGTTACGCCAGCAGAAGAGCACTCTAGTGTTTCACTCACGCCAAGAGACATACCCAAGCCAGTAGACATGCAAGGCGGTTGCCCACGAGAGTGCCGTCAAGAACGCCTCACAGAGCCGGAAGACAGCGTGCAGCCTGAGGCTGTTCTCTCCGAGCTACGCCAACAAACTCCATCAGATCTGGCACACCCCGATGCTGACTACCGTGACTGGGATCAGTACCAGGATCTTTGTGCTGAAGATTCCCGCGAACACACGCCCGCGGATTCTCTCTTTCGAGATGAAGAGGCTGTCGCCGCAGCACTCGCAGATCCATCTCCCTCAGTAGAGAGCGGGTCCCCGCCTTTGCCGTCCTCCCCAGAGCATTTATCTGTGTGTTTGCCTTTGCAGCTCGAATCGGAGGCGTCGTGTGTAGGGGTGCAGAACAAAGGAGACGACCCTGCTTTACAGGAACCGACGGAGATTCTTAATGATGGGGACGATATTTTTGCGACGTTTGCCGATTTCATGAACCCCTACACTGACGGAGCCACGTCTGCTCTGAGAAGTACGTATACCGAGGACCCTGTGGAACAAGAACCTGCAGAATTGCATGTGGAGCACGAACCTGCAGTGACCATCGATCATCCAGTACACGTCGAATCCGACACCACTGCATCTGCCGAGCTCTCAGCCCCACCTGAACATCCAGGTCCCGGCCACTCTCCCATTACATTCGCTACCCCACTCCCTTCTGCTTCGCCGTCATCTCTCTCACACCTATTCAGGTCCCTCTCTCCACTGTCCTCGCTGGGGGAGTCTCAACCGACACTGGAAGAGGAAACCGAAGCTGGAGACCAGGAAGGGCGAAATAAAAATAGATTGGAGTTGCGCAGAACAGAGAGCCTCGATTCAGACGATGAATTTGGTGTGTACCAGCGCAGACCACACGCGGGGTCCTCGGTATCGGTGCTGCGCAGGAAGATGCTGTTGAGATCGATGCAGTCTGGTGAGTTAAGAGGCGGACCAGATGCATCCATCGAAGAGCTCTCTATGCTCGCAAAGAAGGATCCGCGAAAAATTTTGATCTCAGAGCTCAGACCCAAGCGTAAGCTTGAGTCGTCGGAGTCAACGATCCAGTCACGGTCGCCAGGAAAGAAAACTAGGCTCCATGCAGATATGGATGCCACGTCATTTAGCGCAGATGACGTGGCGTCTTCATTCACTGCTCTAGCATATCAGCTCCAACGTGCGGGAGATCCAATGTATCAATCCTATGATCCTTCCGCATCGGCGGAGGATGCGATGGCACTCCAAGTTGAGAGCATCTCGGCACCGAAGGAAGTAGATAGTGCCAGCACCATTGGTACTACGACGATCAGCGAGCCAGCGCAGACCTTCGTGATCATGTCAGAGCTGACAAGGCCGGCGTCACCTGCAAATGAGCCCTGGGAGGATTCAATTTCATCCGGAAAACGGGCGCGGCCTATGAGCTGGAAGGCGAGGCAAGCCACCACCCAGAACGCCCAGCAGCCCGAGAGAAACGTCAAGCCCAAATCGCGGCGACCGCAGAAGAGAAAGTCCAAGTCACTGGCTTTTCAGGCAGAAGCTCAGATGTGTCAGTGGCCTGCAAAAAGCGAACAGGATGGGTCGTTTCAGCGGCAGTTCGTACAGTGTGATAAGTCAGTATCTCTTTGTCACTTTGTCCTACGGCCATTCCTTATTTTGTGAAGCTGCGACTTGTGGTACCACTTTGGCTGCGTTGGTTTTGGTGAGGGAGATCCTCGTTTGGAGGAGCTGGATTCTGTCTTCATCTGTCCGCCTTGCTGGTACGTGGCCTATCAACTGATCCGTCCCTTCTCCATTAAATGAAATCAAACTCTTTAGCGTCTCAAGTGGGTATCCATGCCCGGTTGCCTGCCATTATTGACCACGATTGATTACACAGCTGCAAAACGGCAGACCTTGCGCAAGCGCGGTGAAATATGTGCCCGTCCAGATTGTTCACTCGCCCGGCCTGATACAGAAGAGTTTGTCATCGAGCGCCTAGTCGGGCGGAAAACCGTCGGGGAAGCTGGATACCTGTTTTTGGTGAAATGGGAGGGGTATGTTCTCTTCTTCATAGCAACTTGCTGGCTCCGCGACCTGATGCTTGCGATTCTAGGTACCCGATCGCGCAAGCTAGCTGGATCCCTGAGGGGAGTGTAACCGGTGTCTCGCGAGTCTTTGATCGGTTTGTGGCAGATGCGACGGCTGAGGGTATCAATCTCAATCCGAAAGGCGTTGTTTTGCTGGAGGAGGCGAGAAATGGCGGATGGAATATGTAGGCTCTGATATGCGGTGCTTCATCTTTATCTGTATGAATTTGACGACGAGCACACGAAGTCAAGGCTAATGATGTATATCCTGTTGATCGGGCTTCACCCATTTGATTCCTAGGTGCTGTATCACCTAACGATTCACTCTGGCTGTTTCATTGCGTAACAATCGCGTTGTGTAAGCTGAGCATGCGTTGAAATTCAGTTACTTACAGTTTCTACACGAAGTAACAAAACACGGCACCATGGGTTATCTAGAGAAAGGAAACTAGATTCTGGACGACTGGTGTGCAGTCCAATGTTGCAGTGGTTGACGGTGGCCCCGACTCGAGGAGACCTCCATTTAAATATGATCGAAATCCTTGACTCTAACTTGAAGGCACAATGCTGAATGCTCCAGGGGACATGACATTTCAATCAGTGCCTCGTTTGGTAGTGCGCAAGATCTTTGTCGACGTTGTTGGTTAATTCACTGTGCATTCATATCTGAGTCGATTGTCAGAAAATGTAATGAAGGACGGAAAGTTGTACTTCCAGGGTGAAGAGCCTACAAACAAGTCGCTGATACCAGCACTTCGCTTCGTATGAAGGGGGATCCGGGCGTTTGTTTCCTTGCAGTTCAAATGTCACTTTCTTTCGCCACTGTTGATGAGGTCCCTGTAGCTAATGACGACGATGTCGGTACGGTGGCATGAGAGTCTGAATTGAAAGGGTTCATGTTGGGTTCATGTGCAACAATGCGTCTCGTTTGCACCCGTACTACGTGGCACTGTACAGTTCGGCTTTCTGATTTGTCTTGCAGCAACCAAGTCGTGCAGGTGGCAGGAGCTTGAGAGTTTCCATCCGACCGGTCAGCACCTTGAATTCTTCTTTCACATCGCTCAGGGCAGAGTCAAGCTGGCAAACCAATTCACAAAGAATTACAAGTTGAATGAATGAGTAACTGGAGAGCCTCAGTGATTCAGTGGATTCAGTGGGTCTTTACCGTCGTTGTGAAGATGCTAATCATTTTACTCGTATCACTGGGTTCTGCTAGCCAGATCATTTCCGCTATCCGAGGCTCTACTACTAGGTAGCGGTAAGGTGGCTGCTCGAATCGTCCGCGTCACATCAGCTAGCAGCCGCCAGACCTTAGACGTCTTGACTGGAATGAAGATGGTTCTAGTGGAAGTTCGGCTCCCGATTCAGTCACATGAATCTGACTCACTTGTGGACCTACAGAATTCTAATGATACGACTCTTCTTCTGGACGTCATCCTTCCGTACGAGCTCTATGATGGGACGAAAATAGCATCTAAACAGCAAACATCTTGCAGAAATATTGATCCAAGCGCTCCGTTTGTTACTTGTATGGAGTCTTCGCAAGAGTTTCTGGACTCTTAAATGCAATACCGCCGCCGATTTCATGTGGCTCTCCGCTCACAAGATTTTATCCCCAGGCTGGCCTTAGCCAGGCTTTTATGCGGCATTCGCGTCGGATGAATGTTCAATTGTGAGGTGTCCCTGGAGCGTGGGCCGGGTGGAGGAGGATGCGCCGCGTGTGGACATCGGTCTATGCAAGTGTATGTGAGAAAATACATTTCGAATTTATGGAGTCATGAGGTGGGCGTAAAAGTTTCAGCTTCTTCTTGACCCATCAGCGCGCTAAGTCCGGTTGTCCCATTAAAACAGTTGTGTTGCGGAGGAGATTTCATCAAGTATTTCAACTCAGTAATCGATATACTTCAAGATCGACTAAATGGCATCCGCAGAAAATCTCTCGCAACAACCAGGGTTTGCTGTCAGAAACCGACAGCGCCTGCTCATTTCTTTCAACCGCTTGCTGGCAATGGGTCATCATGATGCATCCGAAAAGTATGGTTGACGACTGGTGATGAAGTCCAGGGATGTGGGTGCGAATTCTCGAAGCTCGCGCGCTCCTACTATATTGCCATACATGTAGATCCATGAAGGGCGTGCGACTTCGCGAACCACGGTGATGAAAGCAGCGTACGGCACCAACCCTATAAATTGATGATGTTCTAAACCGATTTTTTACAACCTGTAGTTCGTCCCTCCCCATCCCGACTTCCTGTCCAGTGATGACGTCTTTCAGACGCTGGCTCCTGGTGGCACTCGCAGCATCTGCTGTCAGGGCCGAGCCAGTTCAGAAACAAGGCTTGCATCTTCCTCCTGATGCTCCCATCCATCAGGCAGCAGTCAAGGACCTTTTTGTCACGAGCTACGAAGCTTACCAGTATGTTGCAGCTGTCTTTCTTTCAATTTGCATTCACCATGCCGTGTGCAGGAAGTATGCCTGGGGGCATGATGATCTGTTGCCTGTTTCAGAAACATATTTTGATGGACGGAACGGATGGGGCGCTTCCATCGCCGACGCTATGAGCACCATGGTGAGTAACGAACCTCATCCACTGGTAGAGGTCAACTGACTGGCTGTGTGTGCACATGCTGTAGTGGATTATGGGACTCACGGTATGTTTCTTCGTGCGAGACGCAGAACTAACACAAGCTCATCTTTATAACGTGTCCAGGACTGGTTTGAACAAGCTGTCAATCACACTGCTAACACCGACTTTACCATTTCGCACACTTCCGACACCGTCAGGTGACTTGCTACCCTATCTCCGCTTTGAAGCTGTTTTGCTGATTAAGCGCAGTCTGTTTGAAACCACTATTCGTTATGTCGGAGGTTTCCTGAGCGCTTATGAGCTCAGCGGGGGAATGTATCCAGTTCTAGTTGAAAAGGCCCAGGACCTCGCCGATCAAATGGCCTATGCCTGGGTTGGGGTAATTGTCATAGTATTTGCATATGCGTAATGATATCTGATCCTTATTACAGAATCAGTCAATTCCGTATGGATATATGGACTTTACAAACCACCAGCCCACCCTCGACACCGTAAGCAGTTAACCGGCGTCTAAGTTTTGATGTTACTCATAATCAATTGTAGTCAAACATTGCCGAGGCTGGAACTGTGAGTCTAGATCATATACCGCAGAGAAAAATGTCACATTTTTCCTGCATAGCTTACCCTGGAGTGGAATCGCCTCAGGTATGTGAGTCGTTTCGCGTGACCAGCTCTTTAAATGAACTGGACGTGAAGTAAATATACTGGCAATTCTACGTACCAAGAATTGGTTGAGAAATCTGTTCAACATATGATTCAAATGGTAAGCAAGGTTTTAGCTTTGATGTTGGCTCTGGGCTTATGTGTTGCCTTTTAGTCGACCCCTCTCCCTGGTATGCCTGCTCAAGGCATTAACCCAAAGACCGGTGATTCTGTCGGTGGGTATGTGGTAAGTGCAGTTGTTTGTCAGGAGCTACGTGCATACACCTTCTAAAATTCTTTTCCAGACTTGGGGTGGAGGTTCTGACTCTTACTTCGAATATCTCATAAAATATGCCCGCCTTACAAATACTGACGACAACTCGTATGCCGATGCGTGGTTGACGGCCGTCGACACCTCCATGAAGACGCTCCTAAGAGTGTGTAGACCTCTTCGTCTCAGTAGCCTCATATTTTTATGCCTCACATTAGGCCTCAACTGTCGATAACTGGCTGTACCTTGCTGATTACGATGACAACAAAAAAATACGTCACGTGGGATCTCACCTGGCTTGCTTCTACGGAGGCAACTGGATTCTGGGTATTTTCTTCTTATTCCTCTGTGGACTCGAACCTGATGTAAAACCAAGGGGGCAAGCTCGCCAACAATGCCACAATGGTCAATCTTGGTCTTCAGCTCACCGATGCATGTTGGAATACATACGCGAGCACTGCGTACGTCCTCAACCGACATCTATAACTGTGCTGATTCGTTGTTTCCAGTACTGGTATTGGCCCCGAAGTTTTCTCATACGTATCCAGCGACGGCAACTACACTGGCGACACTGCTCCCGACCAAGAGCAACTCGAATTCTATGATAAGCACGGCTTTTATATTACTGCCCCCGACTACGTTCTTCGTCCTGAAGTCCTCGAGTCTAACCTCTATGCTTGGCGTGTGACTGGAGATCCTAAGTACTTCAACAATGCAGTTAGCGCCACTCGCAGCTTCCAGAAGTACCTGTCTACAACTGTTGCATACACTGGTATCTACGACGTGAACAACGTGGATTCCGCCAAAATCGATGACATGGAAAGTTTCTGGTTCGCTGAGGTCCTCAAGTACCTGTGAGTATTGCTGCATGCGAGAATCTTGGATCTCTCATAAAAATTCATAGGTACTTGACCTTTGACGACCCCGATCACATCTCGCTTGATGAATGTAAGCTTTTCCTACAAGCCCAATCAACCTAAGCGACTGATGCATTTCACTAGATGTCTTCAACACGGAGTGCCACCCTTTCAAAGCGCCGTCCGCCAAAGAAAATTATGGCTCAGGTACTGGGCCCCACCCTGTGCCATGGCAGCCATTCTCCCCGGAGAGCCCCAGCGCTCCTCTACCAGCTATTTCCCCGATTCCTGCGCTCCTACCCTTACTATTGTGAACCTTAATTCGTAAACACTATTAATAATTCCGCGGCTACTCTTCAACTATCTGACTCTAACATCACATTGCACTGGATATTTTACTTTGCAGACTAGTCAATTGTTTATTGATATTGTATTGGAGTTCGGCTCTAACGTCAAAACATATCACTGTCATTCTGACTTGCATACATAGTCATTCGTTTATCGTTGATACCTTCCTTTGTTTTAGAATTATCATGGACATCCATTTGTATACCCCACCAGGTGATGATGCCAGTGATGCATTCTGGCACCACCATACCAACCAGCGTATATATAGTGGCGTGGCGCGATAAAACTAACATAGGCTTACCGATTAGTGATGCCTTCCCCCATGCCAGTGGCTGGTGAGGGCAAGAAATGCGGAAGCGCGCAGCAGTCGCATCACATAAGTCAGGATAACAGAGGTATAGATATCTATGGATCATTAGCTGAGACGAAGAGACCAGAACCCCTATTTGCGATCGTGTATGCAACTGTCGAGAGCGATGACAGCTGTTTCGATACAACAGGTCACTCTAGATATCTTGAAATGCGGGATTCATTCGCTAACGACAGTTCTGGGAGTCGAGCAAGCCATGGCTGCTGTTCAATACATGGGCGTTAGAAAGCTAGAGATATTGTAGCTGTACGGTATGGATGTCGAAGAACCTGTCGACGGTGCGATCCTGCAGTGACCTCTGCAAAGTCCTGGCCACTGACAAGGACGTCTTGGCCCTTCACGGAGCCACTCTAGTAGTCGATGGAGGACTCAGAGCCATTTATCAGTGAACTGGTAGGGAAATGAAAAGGCCATATATAACTATCTATAACGCTGTACTATCAGCATAGTCCCGCTACGGACTATTACATCAATATTGTCATGCATTTTGACCTTGTATAGGTCGAAAGTAAACTCTCAATTGAAAGGAAGGTGCCGCAAAAGCTAATATTTGCTAGCGCTAAGCACTAATAACTTGACTAGGCCTGGTAGCTAAACTCTGATATCCGGCCCCGTGATGGCGCAGTTTGCAGCCATCAGGATTCAGGATGTTGACCATCGGCGCATCAGAAAGACATCAACATTATGAATCACAAAGTACTCGAATCGATATTTCGGAAAATGACATCTTTTACGTTGTGAACACTAGTCTGATGATCTCCCTTAAAGTGGGGTGTAATTACATGTTCTACGAAACCCTCGGGATCCAGAAGCGATTGAGTTCCAAACGATTACAGAAAGCCAAAAAAAACCAGTAATCTCATGTCATCCGAGTCTACGCGTTAGTCGTAGTACCGGGGTGCAAGAACGGGTCGGCACTGTAGTTAAAGACAGAGCATCCGCGCAGGACAGTCTGATTGCAGGAAAAGCACCAGTTAATAGTAGAATTGATAGTGGTCCACTAAATGAAGCCATGAGTAAGTTATCATATATGCTGTAAAGAGCAGCTCACATCAAGTTGGTGAATGAAGCTGTCAAGGGTGATGCTCGTGTTGCCAAACATTTTCAGTTGACGGAACTCGCTGTCTTGAGTGCCATTTTTGAACTTCATGCTGACCTCATGTTGACCTTGCGAGTTCTGCGACAACTCGAAAGCAACAACAGAAGCATAGTCAACTGCGAACTGGTATCAGTCTGTGACGCTGAACTTATACATTTTTGACACTAACCGATACCAGCAATGTCAGGGTCGGCTACAGTAGCGTTTGTGACATTGAACAGACTTATGAACGGCTTGTAATCGACCTCCTGGATAGAAATTTTAACTTGGTTAGAAGGCTGGGTCATGTTACCCAAGGCCCAGAAGATCTCCGGGAACAGAGTGCGAATGGCAACTGTCCAAGTTGTTAGTAAACCACATTTTCCTATTGAATATAAACAGACTTTGGCCGACGCCATTTTGCACTGTATCAGTGAAGACGTTGTTTTGGACCCAATTAGCATAATAGCGAGCTTGCTCGAGGAAGGTCGCAGGCAGGGTTTCATAATAGGTCTTGTTATGGGTGTACTGGACGTTCACATGATCGTATATCTGCGAGACGATATGGGCTCAGTCTGAAACGATTCAAATTAAGCCTTACATTCCACTGCATAATTATGTGAATCAAAGGTTACAAAACATAACGGAATAACATACTATATTCGTGAGGTTGTTATTGACGCTCCCCAAATACGGTTTAAGTGCAGTTAGAAAGGGCTCGGCGGCGACGGACATATTCGTGAATGCAGATGCAGTGTAAACTCGCGCCAGGTGGAATTGGAAATACTGTCGCCGGGGGTTAGAAGCAACCTGGGAAGAAATAATGATATTCATACCTCGCAATCCATCCAGCTTGTGAGAGACGGAGCTTGCCAAAACTCCAAAGATTGCACTATGGAGGACTGTCAGAGAACGAAAGAGCAGCGATGCCAGCTGGTTAACTTACCTGGAACATACTGGTATCCTCCAAGAGGAGGGAGGGCCGTTTGTCCATTTGCCAAAATCATCTCTGACTTATATGTGGGTGGGTATAGACCCTGAAGCAGAGCGTACGCGGAGTCCAGGATAACATTTCCTCCACCAGCATCCGCGCGGACTGCCAGTTGATCGATATTGACTACGTCAGTGCTGATGTTCTGAATGAAGGATGGCGAATGGGGATTGAGATATGTGTCACGAAGGAAGCACCCGAGTTCAAATTCTTGTTGCTAAAAACCGTGAGCAAGATTGGACGTTATGCCATGAGGTAAAACAGTCACCGATCCGAGGGGGGTTATGTATGCTTGGGTGGCATCACGAAATCGGGGAGGAGGTGCTTTTTATAGATGAACTTTGCAAAGTCGGACCAAAATTTTATGGCATTTTATGATAATATACCGTATGATAATATATTATACACACACCAGCAAAATGACATCAAGGGATACAATATCGCAAGCATGCTACAAGTCTGATAAAAATATGCAACACTGCACAATTATGTTTATTGTGTGACAAAGTAATACACAGGCAAGAGAAAAATGGCACCAAAGGACAAGAAATTATAAGTTACCCACCATTCTGATGGATTTTTGCAATACCTCATGCATATGATTATTTTACGACAAAGTAATATACAAGCAAGAGAACAATGGCGCAAAAGGACAAGAAATTGTCAGTAACCTGCAATTCCGATGGAGATATGCAATGTCTCGCAAAGTATGATTAGCCTACACAAATCAATACCCAACCAAGACAAAAATGGCACCAGCATCAGGAATTTGGGTGGAGCTTGTAGCTACTACAAGATACGTACACAATCCCTGCAATACGAATAATAATACGAATAATAGCATGGGAAAAGCGGTGTCCAAACACAGCACGAACACGATCGAATGAGGGCAGTAAAGAAGCTGTAGCGCCCACCAACCCAGTCCCAGAAGGTGAACATGTTTGCCTTGTCAATGCCAAACGCGGTGACAGCCTGTGTTCGTGCTGAGGGCGACGAAGTGCTTTGCAACGTGTGTTTTGTCCTTGGCTGTCGCCAAAAACCAATCGCGAGCGGATTCGGCATTGGTGATGGTCTCTTGGGTGGTAAAGGTTTTAGAGGCGATGATGAAGAGGGTGCGCTCGGGATCGCAGAGTCTGAGAGTCTCAGCGAGGTGGGTTCCGTCGGTACCCAGGTCTTGAATCGTTCTCAACGAGGGTGTCCCAGTGGGACCATATGATAGAGTCACCTTCCGCAGCCGAAAATAAGTCACCAGGAGCTGATCTCCCGAAAACGAAGATTCGCCGTCCTCATCCTCAGAACCGAAGATGCCAGGTTTCTCAAGTCATCTGCTGGGTCAATTTGGGCGCCTGTTCTCATTCTCCAGCTTGCCGGTAGTTGAGGAAACAATGGGTATCACAGGACCTGGTGGAGACATACTTGAGGCGCCATGATGAATCTACCAAAAGAAACGGGTTTCGATACTCGCGGCGGTGAAAGGGTAGAGGTAGGGACAGGAATAGACGGGCGAGAACCTGAAGCCTTGGAACGATCTCGAGCATCTGCGATTCGTCAAGCAGACGGAAAACGGGTCCTTCCATGATGATACCACCAGCCGTGTATATACCACACTGCGTGGCGATCGAACGCGCCGTCAGCACATTATCACCCGTGCACATCTTCACAGCGACACCAGCTTTGTGGCGATCAGAGACTGCTTCTCGAACACCATCCCTGAGCGGATCTTCGATTCCAACGATGCCGATCAATGTCAGGTCTTTAGCGATGACGTCGTATGACACCTACAACCAGGTCAGTATGACGAAATGCGACTGCAAGTATACCTACTTCGTCAATAGCAGAGACTTGAATCCCAGGTGGTGGCCAAGACGGAAAGTCTTTGTAGCACAAGCTGATAGTCCGCAGAGTCTGATTCGCGTAGAAAATGATAGTCCTCGTGATGTTCTCCTCAGAGAAGCCATTGATATGAACACTGCCAGCAGACACAGGATACAGCTATTGCAAAACTCAGAACAAATCACGGGGTAGTAGATGAGGAATCGTACTGTATAACAGCATGCAACTAAGTAATTGCGAGGAGGAAGATTATTCTTGGATGCTCCAGCGTGTCTGGTTATCGTGAGCATTCGCACGTTATCCAAAGCAAAGTATAGTGCACGCACCCCTCGAAAAGGCAAAATATTGCAACAGCCTTGTCTGGGCGGTCCTGGAAGAACTCTTTCCATCGTGGCTGAAAAGCTGATCCCATAGCTTCCAGCTCGTCGCCGTCAGGACGCCATTTGATTTTTGCATCGCTGCCACTGAAATGCTAATTAACACGCCACCAGCAATGACGGTTTCATACCAACTTTTGGGCAACGAGTGACTTGGCATCGATTTTCCATTTCGCCAGGTTTTCTACAATGTTTGGGCGATTAAATGGACTTGGAATATGGCGAGAACATGCTTACCCTGTATAGCACTCTCCTTTCCACGCCAGAGGGGGTCCATAGTAACAGCTTCGTCAGCAGCAAAGTGTGGAAGAAAGGCGCCATTGTGATCTCATAACTCTAAGTTAACATCATGAAACAAATGGTTGAACGCGAACCTCGATAATTTTCTCCAACGCCAGGCAAGTCCACCAATTGCTCGATACCGCACCGCTTCAGAACCGCATCGGCACCGATCCCAGATCTCTCGAGAATGGCCGGCGAACCGAAAGCGCCCGCAGAGATAACAACAAGCTTTGATGCCCTCACGATGCTCGATGACTTATCCGCATCTGGGCAAGATATCAGATCGCTGGTGAACTCGACACCTACGGCACGCTTATCTCTTTCATGAAAAGACATCAGCAGTTGGGCACGATTATTACCCGAATGTACAACACTCACTCGAAGATAACACGCTTAACGCGCTTGCCAACCCATATTTGTAAATTCTGGTTGTGAGCTTGGTTGTAGACATAGTGGTGCGGTCCACTCACCCATTGATCGCAGAAACGGTGCGGTAGTCTTAAGGACTCGTCAATAAGTGCTCGACGTCTTGCAATGCTTTGGGACGCACCAAGGTGTGGTTGGACGCGGTATTCCCGCGTCACTGCAGCTGCATTGATTGCGGCTAGCTCTCCGTCACTCATGCGAGGGTCTGCAGCCATGATGCACAGGTGAGGCTGGCGTGGCGTTGGCGGGCGCAGGAGATTGTGCTTTCGGACCTAGTTTATTGAACAAGGCTTTAGAGACGTCGCCGTTGGTTTGAAGTGATTTATGGCTGTCAGAGGGGTCGCTGTGACCATTGTCGGTGTGGTTGTAAGAAAAATGTTTTCCCAAAAAGGCAAAACATTCTCGTTTCTCCAGACCTACTATGTAAAATCCCACCACCGATAATCTCCTTCACCGTGACTGCTACAACACCTCCATGGAGCAGAACAATCAAGCCGGCGCTCAAGATCAAAACAATCAACTAAACGTTGAAGGACAAAACAATCAACTCAACTTTGAGCCTCCAACACAATCGGTAAGTTCTAAATGTGAAGAATTGCGTATTAAATTATAGCTTATCTGATCTTGATGTTAGGTAGGACTACTTGATCACCTGCTCATTCCTGGGCCGTTGGTCGTCAGCGACTCAGCGATTGTACGTATTGATTACGATTTAAGTGATTCCAACACTGACAATGTCCAGGCGACTTGGAACGCCGCCAGACAAACGGCCCAATTTCGCACTCAACACGGTGGTTCCGTGCTGCCGCACGAACCTATTCGTACCACCGCGGAAGACCGGTGTTGGTTGACGTTAATGGCGTTGCGGAGAGAGGGGGAACTCGAGGAGACCGTGAGGTACCTCGAAAACGCTTGGAGGGAGTTGGATGAGGTAAAGAGGCTGTTGGGGATAAGAAATCAGTAGAACCGTCCCCCGCTACTTTGAACAAAGCCGCAATGTTTTCCAACGGGCACCTTCACCTGTACGCACAACATTATATTAGCATTACACCAATAGCGCAAAAGTGAAACTCTCACGTAGTGAAGAACGCCGACCGGAGTGAAGAACGCCCGCAAGGTCTCTTCAGAAACCAAAGGCGACAACCCACCAACGAACACAGTTGTGCTATAGGGGTCGGTGGAAGTGAGCTGCTCGCCATTCGGTCCGATGAGGTTTCCAAGGATGGCACGCGCTTGAGCGTGGTGTTTCCACGACTCTTCGTAGATGATATACCGCCGTGCCACGGAATGATCTTGCGAGTCATGCGCCGAACCAGAGGGAACAATGCCTTTGGCGTGATTAGTGGAGCCAGCGTTGGCGTACTGGTGGGCGAGCGCAAGGACATTAGCGGAGAGACCAAGCATCCACGTCGAACGGGTTTTAACGATGTGATGTTGGAGGCGAAAAACATGGTGGAGTGATCTCCTAGGGCGACCAGCAATTTACAAAGTGAATGAGACATGCCGTCGACTGAACCGGCTGGGTATCGGATAACAGTGAGTATTCATATCGAGTGAGCATTTGCAACCAACAAGGCTCACCACGATCTCCATAGGCATCAAGCCACACGAGAAGCGGCTCCGTCAACGTGCCTGTACCCCGCACCTCCAGCCAACGAAGACCTCGTCATAATCTCCTGCAAGACATCAGAAGCCGTTGAGAAATTCGACTCGTCAAATCCAGAGTCTGGTGCGGGCGTCATTATCGTGATCAACAGTGGAATAATGGGTGTGATATCACTTGTGTGAGGCATTAAGTTGCAAATCGAGCAGAGTATAAAAGAACGTTACTTTGGCCCGTAATGTGTATATCCATGCTTGAAAGCACTTGAGTGCAGATTGCAGTTCAGGCAATATGAGAGTCGGTCGAGTGATAGACGTTATTACAGCTTGGACTACCATCGGAGAGGCGTCAAGAAGAGGACTGGTGCATTTGCATCCTGGTACGAGATTGGTGATGATGCAGAGTGATTCCAATCGTCGCACTCACTTACTGGGCCCTAGAAGGTCGGGCCGTTTCGACCTCTTCATCGACTATGGTAAGGAAGGCAAGGAGTTGTTCTGGAGGCATGCCAGAGGAAGAGAGAGAATTCACTGCCGACACTATCCAGTCTGGCCACCTTGAGGGAGAACCAGGGCCAAATTGGGAGTGCAAGTGATGTGATCTGCAAACGATCACTAGACGAACTTCAGTCTAGGACTTGAACTCACTGTGACAAACAGTTTGCGGCACACTACTTCGCCTTTTCCCGTCAATGTTGAGTGAGAGGTGAGCTTGAGCAGTAAGTCTCGTAGATGTTCGGCGTTTTCCTCAGGAAATGAATCCCTGCAGCAATAGCAGTTGATCGGTACCATTGAAAGGAGGAAAAGGTAGAGCATTTACCAGTCGCACATGATCTTAACCTGCGCAGTATGTGCGCCAAAGAATTGCACATTTGTGTCGGGATGTTCGAGGAAAGATACAATCAACGCCCATGCCTCAGGTCGTCTGAATCTCGACCAGCTCTTGTTGGATCCGTCGTTAATCCACCTGGGCCTGTGCGCTCGAATATTTGTTGTATTAACTGTGGAAGTGTCGTAAGAGATCTCCCCAATGAAGTGCAGACATGAAGTATGTACTTGCGCTGCTTATTGCACGTCAGGTGGAGACAAATCTGGGAGAATAAACTTGCCACCCCAACACTCTCACCCCAGCCAAGGCACCCACTGTTCTTGGGGCCACCCGTCAAGCGCGTGCTGAGACTATGCGCAAGCTCGTGGATGACGATGTCAGCTTCCATGTCACCATCGCGGTAAGGGTTTGCCGTGTTCCAGAGGTACATACGGCATCGACTGGTTCACGAAACATAAGTATCGATCAGGATAAGGAAAAACAACAACCCACCCATTCTGCGCATCGGGGGGCGTCATAAAATTGGCATTGTTAAACCCACTGCCGTCCTGTGCATTCGTAATCACAGCATCTGATTCCTCACCGCCACGTCCAAAGTAAAACTCAACGGTAGGTCAAGTCGTGGAACATGTTGCTCGTGTAGAAGAGCTGTGTCACGGTTGCATCGATGTGATCCTGTGTGTCCGCCATGTTCTCCTCTGTGTTGCCCTTTGGACTCGGGGATGACCACCTTGAGGACGATCTTCTTCCTCTCTTCATCAGAGGTTTGAAATTCACGAATGAGAATGACTGTGACTTCCTTGGTGTAGTAGGATGCGTACTCGGGGTCCATGAGGGGAATAATGAAACCGATAGCCTTCAAGAAGGCAGCAAGACCCTTGCCGCGATGCAGACGAATACCAAGCCAGAGAGGCTTCAGTACCTCATCGAAGGACTCGATACCGTAGGGCGTGGCTGCTTCAGCAAGGGCGGCAAGCCCGAGTGCAGTCATGGTCCGCACTTTCTGCTGCTCATCCTGCAGACCGTGCGCAATGCAGGCCACGAGATTACGAAGATGGGGTAAGACGGCGCAGCCCATCATGATAGTGATCTGTTGCACGATACGGATACGGGTATGACGCGCCTGCCACGACTCTTACTGCGACACACGGCCTTGAGGAACGGCAGGAGGGAGGGGATACCGAGCGCGGAACAACGACAGAGAATGCGCGAGCGGTGGTATTACGGACGTACTCGTCAGCATGGTCAATGTCAGGACGCATAGTGAAAATCATGTGTGCAAAACCGGCAGCTTTGGAAAGGTTGGATATGATCTCGCGACCCTCCACACGAGCGTAGTAATCCTCATCAACGAGGAGTGGCTCAATGACAACGAGAATTTTGTGAACGTACGGACGGACGAGGTCATCCGTCATTCAGCTGACAGACCCACTCGTGTCTCATGTATCTGGTGAATCGTACATGGCCCGCATCTGTTTCTCGGACAGTCTCGCAGTCTACGAGGGACTACAGTTCGTGATCTGTCAGCACAACTAACAGGACAAAGTCTGGGGTCACTCACGTCAAGTAGTGCGCCGTCCTGATTATCGCTAGCATGTACAACAGTGGCCTTCAGCGTGAGCGAAGGATTGACACCACGAACGGGTGGGAAGGACAGTTCTACTCGATGTGAGTAGATGTGCAGGAATGATAAGTAGGTTGCTCACCGAATTGTTCATCTCCATGATTGAGCAACTCATCCCACGATGTTTGAAGTTTTCCGATGATTTCACCATTGCCCAGCGTTCGATCAAGCTCAAAGAACACTCTAATCTCCATTGTTAATGCAGGTGACTGACGTGATGATCTGTAAACCGAAGTTCAGTATTGAATCGCGTCTGAAAACGCCATCATCTGGCGGCGCAGTTCTACCACCAAAAGTGAAAACGGAGACAGGAAGATCTCTGCAACCGTCCTCTAAGAACATAGAGATTCACATTCTGGGTGCCGACAATACCGTAGAAGAAAGTAAACAGGACGCCATGACGAAGAAGTTGAACTGGGACACAACGCACCAAGGCATGAAAGGGGCTCGCAAGCCTGAGCGGAGTACACGCCTGAGTCAGAGTGAAACTTCATCAAAGGGGCTTGGGTGGAGCGCGCACATGGAGTCGATGCGGATTGGTCCCGCGAGATCAAACACTTTGTCCTTACATAAGATGGTGAGGTAGAATGACAAAGGAATATACCAATAAGAATACGACCTACGAAGTTGCAAACACTGAGAGTTGAGACTTGTGCTGCTTGCCATCGCGAGGCTTCTAACTCGTCGTAGTTAGGATTCCCTTTGGCATATGATACTTGAGATATGGGTATACCCTGGAGGTTCATGAGGTAATTGAAGTGCGTGACACGAATTGCTCTCACCAATGATGGATACAATTGCAGCTTCTATAATGAAGGGCGCTCTTACATTGTACTTGCTTGAGAAATATACCGTGGTCCATATTGGAACGCTTGTGAGCACATTCGGGGGGACGGTCATCCTTATGGTGGGACCCACTTCAACATTGGATCCTTTGAGCTCGAAGGGACTTACAGTTGTGCCTGCCATGTCTGAAATCCAAGTCCTGCGATGATTGTAGGCTAGACTTGGCAGTCAGACACCATTCGCAATTTCCTTCGACGACGAACGTACCAGGAAAAGGCTGAGCGAGTACAGCACAAAAGAAAATCCATGGAAAAGGAATGCATATGCCCAGACTAAGTGGTCGCTGAAAGCATCTAGAACTGACGACCATTTGAAGGCTTGGTCAGTTCCTGCATCGG